GGAGGGAAGAAGGATGGAAATCAAAGACAAGTAGCCCAAAGGAATAGTGGCTCCTATGAGCTTCAGTCTCTAAAGCCTGTTGTTGTGTACTGAGTAGGCAGACCCGGCCCGCTGCTGACCCCCAGCTGGTTTTCAGAGGCAGTGAGTCATGCGGGAGATGATGACTCCTCCTCCTCCTCCTCCTCTTCCTCCTCCTTCCCCCCCCATGGAGGAGAAGTTGGATTCGAACTCCATGCCTTTTGGGATTGCAGTTCAGCTTCTTACCACAAGGTGACCAGAGCTCCCTGAGATCAGAAGAACTAGAGGATGGCTGGCTATCATTGTGCCTGGAGGTCTCGACAGAGAGGGAAAAGAGTGTGGAATAAAGCTCAAAATAACGAAAAAGAGCAGATGTACTGGCCTCATGGAGGCCGGTAACACTGGTGAGATCCTGCCACTGAGACACCTTCAATCTTGAAATTGACTTTCATGACTCAACTTCCAGCCAAATCACAGCCTGACCTGTAAGGTGAACAGTACCACCCGGGAGGAGCTCACTCCTCCAGCCAACCGCACAAGGTCCAAACGGCAGCAACTGGTCAGAGTTAAAGCTTAGCAGGCGGGAAAGGAGAGAAAAGAAGGGTGATGGCAAGAGGAGACGCAGGGAGGAAGTGGGGGAAACTCTGTGAAAGTGGAAACTACAGTCAAGACCACAAAACAAAGAGTGTGGAAATGACTGAGTGGAAAACCCACTTACTCTGTGAACCTTCATTCAGATCACAGTAGAGAGTTAAAACCACCACCTTCTGGACCACGGTTCTCAGCTCCTCTCTGACATTCGAGGGTTTGCCAGGAGTCACGTCTACCCACTGGCAACCGGGATTTTTGTTTTGTGTTTTTTCAGGTGAATTGCAATTGTTATGGATCAACATTTTAGGGTGGGCCTTATAAAGCTGCCATTTCCAATTTAAGTTTTAGAAACGCACAGGCCTGGGAATGGTTTTATTTATCCCAAATTAGCCCTTCTGAAACTGCAGCTGTGCACCAGCCTGAAGCCGATCGGATCAGGGGTGGTTAGGGGTGAGGAACCTTGAGAAAAACATTTTTAATGGAAAACACTGGTTTCTGTCACAAGCAGCCCTTCCAGGTCATCCCTCCCCTGTGTCATCTGAGTGGACGGCGACCGTGGGAGGCAAGCGCCTCCCCTGCTGCCGCTCTGATCCCGCTCTGGGGCTGAGAGGGGGAGGCTTAAACTTGGGGGATGCTTGCTCCTTCCTCCCTCTTTAGAGGATTAGCTTTTGAAGCTCTATTGTGGTTGACATCGGGGCAATCAGGATGCAATCCATGCTTGGACACGAACAAGCACTACAAAGAAAGCCGCCTGCCAGGCCGCTGTCAGCCTAGCCTCCTTTTTTTTTTCTTTCAGTGAAAATATCCAGTCAGACCTAATTTTAACTATGTCTCCATGTTCAGGTCAGTGACACTGACGACATTCTTCAAGGGAGGCAGTCTCCCCTCTGTTCTTCTCAAAACGGTGCCATCACCCTCTGATCTAAAGCAAACCACCCTCAAGTTTCTCCTCTAACCTTTCAAGTTGCTTTGTCACATGGGGAATTCTCTTTGTGTGTGTGTGTGTGTGTGTGTGCAGGTATTTTATTTTGGGTGCTCATTTTTTTTATATATATCTTATTTTATTTTTTTTAAATAATTTTAATGAACATTTACAGAGAATGTGGATTTCCATTCATTCATTGCTGCACTTCTCTCCCCGCCCAGCCCTCTCCCCCCCCCCCCCCGTTCGCTCCTCTCTTTCAAAAGTAAAAGAAAGACTCCCTCCCTGGTACACAATCCCCCAGCACCCCTCCCACCACCCCAAGTACATTCCACTATGCAACCTTAATTGTGGACTCTTGTGATACATGGGGAATTCTTTTAAAGAGCACCAGGCTCACCTCGTCCAATGGGCTAATGAGTCACGTGAACCTCAACCTTCAGGACTCTCAGACCAGAAGAACTGGATGGTGCCCAGCGACCGCTGCTCGACACTCTAAAAGGAACTGCAGGTGGTGACTGGGGTAGAGTGGGAGAAAAATGTGAGGGAAACCCAAAACACGAAGATGGCCAAGCTTACTGGCCAGCAGAGACTGGCAGGGCCCCCAAGTCTAAGGCCCTCCTTAACCGTGCCCTTCTGTTGTTGTTGTTGTGTGCCATCAGGTCAACTATGACTCACAGCGACCCTATGCACAAGGACTCGGAAGCTTACCCCGTCCTGAGCCAACCTCATCATCTCCGACAACACTTGACCTCAGTGTTATAATCACTATGTCAACCCATCGCATCCAGAGTCTTCCTCTCCTGCGCTGACCCTCTACCCTTCACAGCATGACATCATTCTCCAGGGACTGGTCTCTCCAGGCAACATACTCAAGATATGTGAGATGTTGTTGTTGTTGTTGTTGTTATGTGCCGTCGAGTCGCCTGCGACTCATAGCGACCCTATGTACAACAGCCCTAAACTCCGCTCTGTCCTGTGCCAATCGCACTGTCTCTGACACTCCCATCCCGATTATCCCAGTCACTGAATCAATCCACCTCATAGAGGGTCTTCCCCTTCTGCACTGTCCCTCTACTCTATCCAGCATGATGTCCCTCTCTAAGGACCAGTCCCTCCTCACAACATGTCCAAAGTATGTTAGACGGAGCCTCAGAATCCTTGCCTCCAAGGAGCCACCCGGTTTAACCCTTTCCAGGATGAATCTGTTTGTTTTCCTGGCAGTCCATGGTATTCTCAGTACTCTTCTCCAGCACCACAGCTCAAAGGCATCAATTCTCCTTCTATCCTCCTTGGTCATAGAGTTTCAAAATGCTAGCCTCCGAGAAGCAGCCTGCTTTCCCCCTCTCCAGGGCAGACCTACTGGTTCTCTTGGCGGTCCATGATGATGTTCACTCCTCTTCTCCAGCCTCTTCTCAATGGCAACAACTCTTCTTGCATCATCATTAGTCACTGTCCAGCCCTCAGATGCATAGCAAACAATAGCAAACTTAACAAACCTTAGTCTCTAGTCTGACATCGTTGCTCTTTAGCACTCAGGCGAGCTCGTCCCTGACAGCACACTTTCCTAAAGCAACTCATCTTTTGATTTCCAGACTGCTGGTGCCAAGAGTGTTGACTGAGTGGATCTGAACAAGATGAAATCGTTAACAACTCAATCTTTTCTCCATCCATCATGATGCTGCCAATAGGCCAAAACTCACGTCTACGGTTCAACTTTGAGTCAAACAATAGACAGACCTCTAGTATGAACAGTAACACCAGGATTCTTCTAGGGATCCGTCACTCCTTAGAATAGTCAACCACCTACGATCAAAAGGACAGCATGTGCCCAAAGATAAAGCTCAGAAGGTGGGAAGGGACAAGATAGAAAGAGAACTAGAAATGAGAATCACTGGGTAGAAGTGAAACTGTGATTAATATAATAGAACAAAATGAACAGCTGACTGGAAAACCAATTAGGTTTGGAAACTTTCACTCAAACCACAATTTTTTTCAAAAACCCATAGTGTAATAGCAACAACAAAAATACAAAAGCATGATGCTCACAGCAGACACACTTTACTCATTAAGATAAATTGGCTTTTGTTCAAAGACGACTTCAAGGGACCATTTTCTCCCTTCACTTTGGGGAGTAACGTGATCTTTCATAACTAGCTGGTGGTCATTGTCAGGGGCTGTAGACACAGACCATCATCTCACAACAGGTGATGTCCGGTGGTCCCTCCAGCAGAGAGGCCAGGGTGTCACGTGTGTCTGCTCACAGAGCTGAATCCACAGCTCCCTGTGCTCCTGATTGAGTTTGAGGCCCATCTGCCAAGTGCTGTTATACTTCTCTCCAGATGCTTATTCCAATCTCCAACCCTCCCCTTCCACACAGCTGCGTCCAGCGTGGAAGTGACGAGGGGGCCTTCAAAGGGCCTGGACCTGGGCAGGTGCCCACTGCTGAGCCGGCTCTCCCGGCCCTGCCCCCGCAGCACTGTCCTGTCTTCACCTCCCTATAAGCAGAAATGCATTCTCTCACAGTACCACAGCCAAGTGCTGTCCAGACAGCTCTGATCCAGCGGCCCAGCGTACAGCAGGCGATGGTGCCCGGTCCTCGGCCATGGTCACAGCTCTGACCACCTCACATCAGAGAAGCTCACCTTGCAGCACGACATTCGGGCAGTGTCCTGCTGCCACCCGGAAGGCTGTCACCGGCCAGCCTTCCGCAGAATCAAGTCTTCCTTCCCCGTCTGTCTTCGAAGTTCTATTGAAACCTCTCCACCTTGGGGACCCTGCTGGATTTGAGATACTGGAAGCAGAGAGTGCAGCATCACCGCAACACGTGGCCCCAAAGGATGGCCAAATGACAGGTAACCAAGTGTCGGACACGCGGCCCCACACGATGGCCAAATGACAGGTAACAGTGTCGGACACGCGGCCCCACACGATGGCCAAATGACAGGTAACTGAGTGTCGGACACGCGGCCCCACACGATGGCCAAATGACAGGTAACTGAGTGTCAGAAGCTGGGAGTTAGAAGAATTCGGGGGGGGGGGGGGTTGCAGGGCCACATGCTCTCCACAAACTCCAGTGGAGCCCCTTCCTTGTCTCTCCCCACTTCCGACAGCCTCAGGCAGTCCTGGATCGCAGCTGCCACAGAACTCCACTGTCACGTGGCCACGTTCCATTTGTCTGTCTCTAGATCTCGCCTCCTCCATTAGAACTCCAGTCATGCTGGATCAAGACTCACCCTCTTCAAAAATACACTCATGTTAACTAATAACACCTTTCAAGACTCTCTTTACAAACAAGGTCCCATTCAAAGCTATCAGGGGTAAGAACCTGAACGAAAAATTTTTTGGGGACACTACTCAATCCACAACTCATCCTTTTTGCACACCTACAAGCCCTGGTCCATGTGCACCCAGGAGCCCAGAACCCCCACAGCTGAAGCTGCACTCCAAGGCAGACCATTCTCCCTACCTTGACCAGCTCCTTGAACTTGGGGTCTTCCTTGGAGGTGGGGCTGATCATGGTACGCTCCTCATTCTCCTCTGCCAAGGGAGAGAAGAGTTCACAGTTAGCATCAGCAGGGAGGACAGGGCTGCCTGGGTGGTTCTAGATGCCTGCAGGGAGTGGACAGGCAACAGAGGTGGAAGCAGAAATCCCATCAGGTCATCAGAAGGGCTGGGCTCTGTGTCAGCCGTACGCCCAACCACCCAGCAAGGGGACTGCCTTCCAAAAGGTGGACAGACCCTCCCAAGCCTTCACTTCTCCACAGATGGGAGTCAGGCGCGCCCACTCTTCCAGACCTCACGTCCCTGGTTTCACCCAGCAGCACCTGAGCACCCACTTTTGGGAAGAAATTATAATAGGTGGTGATTCCCTGCTCAGAATTTGATTTGTGGTTGCATATGAAGGTTGCATATGCCACAATGTTCCTTGAATGTCTTCATCTAGATAAATTACTCGAGTTTGTTGCTGTTGTTGGGAAAATATACATCGAAACAACTTCTGTGTGTACAATTCTGTGGCAGGGACATCATTCTCCTCGTAATACATCGAAACAACTTCTGTGTGTACAATTCGGTGGCAGGGACACCATTCTCCTCATACACCCTTCCTGCCCTCCCTCCCTGAATTACTCCTCCCCTGTCCACACACTCCCTGACCCCTCAGCGTCCTCTCTAATCTGCCCAGTTACTGCTGTCCATCCGCCGCCACAGAGACAGCCCCTTTAAAGAGCACAATGACTAAGGCAGGCATTTATTTCTTTTCACTAGTGAAGTGAAATTATTGCTTGATTTTCAAAAGATGTGGGGGGATATTTGCGGTTTAAGGTTTAAAGGTTATCTCAGGGCCACTGTTTTGGGGGTTCGTGCAACCTTGATAAACATAAGACATTCTGGATTCCAGGAGCATTTTAAATTCTGTCATGCATTTTCCCACCTTTGGCTCAGGATTCTTCAACAGAATTTTTAATCAAAATGCTGCCTAATGGGTGTCATCCAGGACTTCCGGTCTCCTAACAAAGGAGGCAGTAGTCCATGGAGGCAATTAGTCTGACATTCTATTTCCTCTTCCTGTTCCTGACCCTCCTTCTTCATCTATTGCCCCAGGTTCTGTACCTTGAGATAAGCTTTCAACACCCGGGGCACTAGATGACCAAATGACAAAGAAACAAACAATTCTGTCTTAGGGTAAGTTCAGCCAGAAAGCCACTCTGAAGCAAGAAGAGTGAGGCGCTTATCAGGAAGGTTATCAGGAGAGTCTAGGCCCTGGGGAGGGTCAGAGGTGGAGAGGAAGACAACGATGGATGAAGTGGTGACTCCAATGATGGTCTTGAGCTCAGTGGAGACTGTGAGCAAGGCAGGACCTTGCAGGGCTCCATTCCCCTGCGGGGCTGGTACGCACCAGAGCTGACTCGAAGGCACCCAACAACAACAATCTGTAACAAAGCAGGGGCTAGAACAGGGGCACTATTCGAGACACGAGAGGCTAATTCCTCGTAAGAACATGACCTTGAGCCTCCAGACCAAGCTACGTTATCTTAGCTTCCTTCCGGCTGCCAACCACCCCAGACAGGGTGACTTACAAGACCCAGAATGTGTTGCCTCACAGCTCTGCAGACTAAGAGTTCAAGTCCAGGGTGCGGGCGGGGTCCTGCTCGCTCTGAAAACTCGTGGAGCCGAGCCTTCCCCGTCTCCACAAAGCCTCTCGGGTTTGGTTGTACACAAGAAGCTATTAATAAGAGCTGGGATGTCTGTGATGGGATGGAAAACATCTGACACGTTGAATAGAAGACTCGCACTCATCTCCCCAGGAAGGTGTGCCGAACTGAACCTGGAGAGACCAGCACCGTGGGCACGAGCCCAGCTCTGGAGGCGAAATGCCTGGGTTTGGATCCCAGCTCCCCACTTGCTAACGGAGAGGCCTTGGGCACGTGATAGAACTTCTCTGTGCCTCACTTTCCTCTTCTGAACAATGGGGATGAAGACGCTACCTGCTTCACAGAGTCATCAGACAGGGAAGTGAATGAGAAACAGGTGAAGTCAGTTCTCAGCATTAACCAGGAGTACTCCTCGTATGAGCTCAAATGAAAGTCAATGGATTAAGAAAGGAACAGGTCCATCCTGGAAAGGGTGAAACCAGGATGCTCCTAGGAGGTAAGGATTCTGGAGCTCCGTCTGACATACTCTGGACATGTTGCAAGGAGGGACCGGTCCTTGAAGAGAGATGTCATGCAAGAGAGGAAGACCCTTGATGAGATAGATGGATTCAGTGACTGGGTAATGGGGGCAGGTGTGCCAGAGACAACAGGGTTGGCTTGGGAGAGAGCAGGGTTCAGAGCTGTTGTACACAGAGTCATTGAGTCACAAGTGACTCGATGGCACATAACAACAACGCCGGTGTTCGGTGCCCGCAAGTCAATTCTGACTCGTATTGGGTCCAAGTGGCAAAGTAGAAATGCCCCACCCTTGCCTTCCAGGAGCAAGGGTCTCAAGGGTCTCGTCTCATGGTCTGGACATGAGCACTTCTCTATGGGTCTTTTTTTTCTCATGGAGAAAAGAGCTGCTGGATGGTTTCGAACCACCAACCTTTCAGTTAGCATCTGAACTCGTCACCATTGTGCCATCAGGACTATCTTACAAAGAACGTTGCTGTTGCCATTCTTTGTCATTGTTGTTAGATGCCGAGGAGTCAAGTACAAACCAGAGCGACCCTATGAACAACAGACCTGAACTCTGTCCTGTCCTGCGTCAGTATCTGTCTCCAACTCACAGCCACCCCCAGGGCAGCAGGACTGTGTCGTCCTCACAGTCACCGCAGCCACCGTGTCAGTCCATGTCCCTAAGGGGCCTCTCCTCTGCTGACCCTCTGCTTCTTCCAGCTTGATGTCCCTCCCCAGGGACTAGCCTCTCTTCACAACGTGCCCAAAGGCTGTTAGACTAAGCCGTTCCTTGCCTCCGAGGAGCATTCTGGCTGCATGTCTTTCAGGGCAGATTTATAGAGCGCTGTACAAATATTCCCCAAATTCATTTAATTCTAATCTGGAAGCTTCACTATTTCTTTGCTTAAAGGCTACCCTGGGCTTAGAGATTCTCCTGCTGGGAGCACAGCCCAAACCTGCTGACAGTGAACTCAGAAACTCAGCGAGATGGATTGGAGAAAGTGCTCTTCTGAGTACTGGGAATGGGCTCACTCAGGGGGTCCTAGGTGCACCCATGTTTAGGTGCCAGGCTGCTCAGTTCCTGGCAAGCTTCCAGCACACCTCAAAGAGCCAACCACAGGGGGTAGTCATTGCAAAAGGACAGTGTGATGGTTAATGTCAGGTATCAACTTGGCTAGGCTCTGAGTCTTGGTGGGTTGGTAGACTCTATGGAATCACCTTCCATTTGTGAGCTGATGTGAACAGCCAATCAGCCGAAAGAGGCATTTCCTTGGGGGTGTGGCCTGCCTCCAGTATATAAAAGGATGTTTTTGTTGTGTTTGGGTTTTTTTAATAATTTTTATTTATTTATTCTTTTTATGTGTGTACCGTCAAATTGGATCTGACTGGTACAGGAGGCGATTGTTCCTCCTTCTTCAGCAGAGCATCTGGTGGATTTGAATCACGCACCTCTGGGATTGCAGTGCAGTTTCCTACCACTAAGCCACCAGAGCTCGCCTAAAAGGATGTTTTAATGAACCTTATATTCTCTCTTTCTTGACTCTGCACTGGTCTCATCATCGGACTTCTGCTTCCCAGGACATGAGTCTCCAGAAGTCTCCAACCTATTGCTTCACCTGCAGATACTGGATCTGCCACTCCCTGCAAACCTGTGAGCTGACAGAAGCCCCCTGTCTGCTGCCTGGCTCAGAAACTAGGGTTCATCAGCCCCTGCAACCCGTGAGCCAGGAGAGGTGTTCAGCAGGTTCTCCTGACGTGTGGATCTGAGACTTGCCAGCCCCCCACAAATCTGTGAGCCTCAAAGTCAAATTCTCTATTTACGTGCACTGCATTGATTTTGTTCCTCTAGAGAACTCAGCTTAAGGGGGTAGACAAAAAGGTCAGGGTCCAGGCAAGGGACCGCTCAAGATGTCCACAATACGAGAGTCTGGTACATACACCATTTAAGATCTTCCCCCCCACCCCCAGAGCCTCTGTTGGTCTAAACTGATGGTTCTGGCCAGAAGACACGTGGCGATGTCTGCAGACATCTTTGGAATCCCTGGGTCGCGCAGTTAGTGCCCTGAGTTGTTAACGGAAAGGATGGAGATTTAAGTCCACCTGGCGGTGCCTCAGAAGAAAAGCCTGGTGATTCACTTACCCAAATAACCAGCCACTGGAAACTCACCATTCTGCTCTGAGATGTATGGGGCCACCAGGAGTCAGGGTTGACACACCACATCCAGTCTGGGAGGGCTTTTGTGGGGGAGGCATGGTGTGCAACTGGCATGTGTGCAAGGGGAGCCCAGAGATGTTACCCCAATACCCTACGATACACAGAACAGCCGCCCCCAGACGAAAGAACAGAAACAAAACAATAAGAAACAAATCCATGTCCACTGAGTGGCCTCCAGCCTGCGGCCTCCCCACTGAGTCAGAAGAGAGCTGTGCGCCGCAGGCTTTCCAGTGGCTCAGTCTGCAGGTCACCAGGCCTTTCTTCCAAGGCACCTCTGAGAGATCTTGAATCTCCCACATCTCCACGGGCAGCCGAGGACATTTACCATCTGCACCACTTAGACTCAAGAACTAACCCACCACAAGGAGGCTAGTAAGTAAAAGCAGAACTAACCCACCGCTTTGAGTCACATACAACTCACAGTGACCCTGCAGACAGAGCAGAGCGGCCCCCTGGGGTGTCCAAAGCTGTAGCCTTTACAGAAGGAGACTGCTTCATCTTCCCCTAAGGAGCAGCTGGTGGATTTGAACCAGGGACCTTTTAGTTGGCAGGCCAATGCTTAAGTCACTGTGCTGCGTGACCTCAACTGTCTCCAGTGTAGAGGCCGGAGCACCCTGACCTAAACCCACCAACTAGGAGGCCAATTTCCCCACATGCTGCTCCTTGATCTCCCTTGGAGGGGGTCCCTCAGGGCCGGCTCCCTGGAAACATTTCCCTCCGAATGAACAGGAAGCAGCACCAATCAGGGCAGATGTCTGAGAGGAAGAAAACCAGCTCTCCCAGGCACAGTGGAAACCCGGGCACACCCAGCCCTTGGCGCGGGGTGGACCGGGGCGGGCCAGCCTCTATCTTTCCTCTCCACAGGCACTTGCTGGCCTGTCTTTGGGGGTGGAAACCACAAAAAAGGGGGTCAACTGGGACTTCCCTTTGAACCAGGATTTGGAAATCAATGGAATGTTCCAGAACGGCCCTCCAGATTGATCAGATCCCAAAATACACTTGGAGGAAAATGTATCTGGTTGTCATCTCATTAACGCTGGGCTGTGACGTGACCCTGAGGCAGAGGGGGTGGGGGTCATGCCTGCCCAGCCTGCCACCCCCATCAAGCCTGGGAGGAATTCCTGTTTACCCAAGAATAAGGGCAGAGTCTGCTTTTTTCCTATCATCTTCCTAAACATGACCTTAAGCAGAGCACCTAGCCTTTCAAATGTCACCACCGGAAATCTGCTTAGAAGCTCAGAAGGCCACCGCAGGATGACTCAGTGTCCTGGGCGCTTTGCTGTCTCGTGACCAGGTGCTGGGAGAAAGGACAGTACCTAACAGCGTATCTTCTGGGTGAATGTCCACGGAGGCGGGGGACAGCGGTGAGTTGATGGCATTCTTTCCTTCTTCCTGAAGGTCGCTCACTGAAAAACAAAAGCAGAAAGGAAAAAACCGAGGTTAGCACAAGCTGCGAGGTCTCCTGGGCAGCTGGGCCTGCAGGGCCCGGCGGGGGGGGGGCGGGGGGGAGGAGAACTGCTGTGTTTAAGCATTTAACAAACACTCCCAAGTGGCGAGCTGCCCAGACAGAGTCCAAGGAAAAATGTTCTGAACTTAGAACACATCCTGCAACCCTCCCCACTCTCCCAAGATTTCCTGCTCCCTGCTGGGCGCGGCCAGTTCCTGCACAAGGCTCTTTGGAAACAGGAGGAAACCAACCTGCAGGGATGTCTTTCTATCTGCTCCCAGGCTGTTAATTCAAACTAAGTCAGACAGCGGCCACAGAGCCCCCAAATGTGTGCAGGCCAGGGGGCTGCTCCTCTCGCTTGGCCTCTACGAGGATTTCAAGCTGAAGCTGTCAAGGGGTTCATTGTATTTGGATCCCCCATCAGCACCAACTGGAGCGGCAGGTAAGAAGGCACAGGGCTTCAGATTCACTCATACCCCAGTGCTCTTGTGTGGGACCCACTCGGGGCGGATGCTCTACTTGATGTTCAAGACTGTATGTCGCACAAAAGATTGTCCATCCTCCTGGTTGAATTTGAACCACTAGAGAGGTGTGGGTGGATGGTTCACGGCACAGTTTCCTATGGACCAGGCCATGAGGTTGCCAAAAAGGAAGTTCTACACAGCAAGGATACTGTGTGTTGACGCCCATACCCTCGGCCCCTCAGTTCAGTCACCTTACGTGCCTCTGAGAACCAGACAAGGAAAAAAGGAGGCGAAGAAGGGAGGCGTCTGAAGTAAGGGGGTGAAGAATCCTGCCTGTTCCGTGGACTGGCAGAGTCCAGAAGGCAGAGCACCAGCAGTCTGAGGAGAAATAGAACCAGAATGTTCCTCAGAGAGAAGGGTGACCACAGGTCATCCTATCTATGACCAAGATGAACAGGACATCAGGAGAGACCATCAGGAGAGACCTCCATGCCCTCAGGGAAGCCATCCGCTCGTTCATTCCTCTTACGGCAACGCTAGGTAACTGGGGACCTCTGGTGGCCTAGTGGGTAAGGAGTTGTGCTGCCAACCCAAAGGCAGGCAGTTTGAATTCGCCCACTGCTCTGAGGGAGAAAAGTGGGCAATCTCCTCTGGTGCGATTTACTGCCTCTGAAAACCCACTGGAGGGTCAGCTATGGGTCCGTTCCCACTCGACAGCAGGAAGTTGAGATGCTGAGTTGAGGTAAGGAGGGAAGGTCAGAGGTGAGGCAGGCCACTCCTACTGAGGTTTACAGCCTCAGAAAGGCTACAGGGACGTTCCTCGCTGCCCTGTGGGGACACCGTGAGTTGGACTCAGCCTGATAGTTCCAGAGTGGCAGGTGGTAACTACCAAGGGGACATAGCACAACAGCTTCGGGTCAGGCAGGCCCACCGGCACTGGCTCTGAGCCCTGGGCAAGTCCTCTTCAGGACTCTGAGCCTCTTTCCCCGAGTGTCATTTGAGATTAATAGTGTCCCATGAGCCTCAGAAGAACTGGATGAAACTGTGAATGTTAAGTTCCCAGCCTGGACCTGGAGCACGGGGCGGGGAGGGGGGTGGGTGCGGACTGGGGAGCTCTGGGGATAGTCCCAGCTTTGGGGGTGACCTGCCCACTGTCCATCACATGGGGCGGGCACAGACACACCCAACATCTCAGGCTAAAAGCTGGCCCCACACCAGCCACTGTCTTCCTGCGACCCCCACAGCACATCAGGTCCCTGGGTCACTGGTCACTTAAACCCTCACAAAGTGCCTCGTTCAGCCACTGCCTATGAGTCAGAGCCGACTCCTGGCTGACCGTCCAGCAGGTTTTCAGAGGCTGTAAATCACACAGGAGGAGACTGCCCATCTTTGTGCTCTGGAGCAGTCAGGGGATTCGAACTTCCACCACCTTTGGTTACTGGCACGGCTCCCTGGGGACTACGCCACGGGAGCTCAAAGCAGCAGACGTATGTTAAACAGCCTAACAGAGTAAATCAGTAATATGCGGGGGTTTTAATGTCTTCTCCTCCACCTCCATACTAACAATGTCAAGATCCCTCAGACCCCCAGGCAGGTCAGAGGCCAAACTCCAGCGCAGACCCAATGACCAGAGGACAGAAGCAGCCAGACAACCTTGCAACGCAGAAGGGGAGAGGAACGGCCATTCCTGCCCAGATGCTCACGGACAGAATCTTCAAAGGGGAAAAGTAACCAGACCAGTCGCCACCAAACTGGCTGCAAACCACTGCTGTTCAGAGGAGAGCTGCCCCAGGGCCTGCGGACAGCTGGAGTCGCAGAAACAGATCAGGCCGTGCCTCCTAGAAGCCACTGGAGGGATGAACTGCCAGTCTGAGGTTAGCAACTAACATCCACGGTGACACTCAGGTGGCACCTTGGGAAGGTGAGAGACTCCTAAGTCCTGTGAACCTGGCTGACACCTCAGAAGAGGAGGCCCAGGTGTGTCCCCTAACCCTGGACCTCTATCTGTGATGGTTGTAAGAACAAAAGACCACAGTGGTGGTGTTCCCAAGAATGAGCCATCTAAGCGGGCTGAGCCTCCCAGGTGGGCTGAGCCTCTCAGGTGGGCTGAGCCTCTCAGGTGGGCTGAGTTACCCAGGTGGGCTGAGCCTCCCAGATGGGCTGAACCCCACAGATGACTTTGGACACTGAATCCACAGCCCCTCCCAGGGAGACGGAGCAGCCCACACCTGGACATCAGAGGAACACCAGGGGGCAGGAGGGCAGAAAGGATGTCAGGAAGAGGGAGCCAGTGCCACCGGCCACAGTGACTTCAGAACCGCGGGGGGAGGAGAAGGGAACAGCGTTTTCAAAGCACGGAAACTGGGTCACATAAAAACAGAGAAATTTCCACACCCTCCTTGAACATCAAAGATAACACTGCACAGGGCTGGGGATTTCAGGGCCTTAATAAATGAGAAAGGCTTGCACTAAAATAGGCCGGGACTCAACAACACATTCCAAAGGGTTGTTTGTGCTCTGTTCTGAGGGAAGCAAAGCGACAAGGAGGGAGAGATGGGAGGAGAGGGGGCCGGAGGGAGAAGGGGGAGGGAGAGGCGGGGAAGGAGGCAGCCTGCCAGCCCACCACACAGCACAGCCCCAAGGACCCAGCTGTGCTCTGAGAGGCCATGGCTGCCCCTGGAGCCTCCGTTTGCCCATCTGTGATGGGGGTTGGCAGCAGGAGCTCCTCTCGGTGACAGAGATGCTCAGAGCGCTCAGACCAGAGGACCTGTGCTGGCCATTAACAGCGGGGTGATAAGTGCTGTGCAAGAGCCCCAAGTGAGGTGCCACAGGACAGCAGAGGGGCAGGGACCCTCACCTCTGAGGGCAGCAGGGGAGGCTGCCTGGAGGCAGCGACACCCTTCAGGCCACATGATTGGGACTCCAGACCGGGCGGGCTACCTTTCCAGGCCTGAGATCCCTGCGGGGCCTGCACAGGATCAGCTGGATTCTGGAAGGACGGTCCCTGAGCGTGGACATCCTCTCTCGTGCTCACCCCACCAGCTTAGGTACTAATCCAGGAATGGTTTGGGGTTTCAAGTCCTGGTTTGTTTGCCAGGAAGGCAAATACTTCAAAGAAGCAAACCTTCAATTGCCAGCTGTCCTGAGTCATGGAGCAGAGATGACGCTGGCCAGGCGGGCTGGGTCCACTCAGTGACCTGGGGGCCGACTTCATGAAATCAGTCATTACAGGAAAATCGCCTCTGGCCGTCGGCATCTGCCACTGCTTTCAGAAGGAGGCCTTGGCCCATGCTAAGTCCAGAACAAGATCTCCTGTCAACCATGAGGGAACAGAGGCCAGCACACTGCCCTTGGGCCAGCCGGTCACCCTTCTGTGCCAGGCCAGGTGGGAGAGGCCAGGCTGGAGAGGTGTGTAAGGAGTGACCTTCGCAAGAACCTTGTCTTGGGGAGAGCTGCTCCTCAGCCCAGTCCAGGCAGCAGAATGGTCTGTACTGGCTAAGAGGGAAGAGGGAGAACCCAGGAGAGCTTCCTGGAGGAAGAAGACCTTCAGGGTTTTCAAGAAAAGCTGGAAAACTCAGAGTGCACATGGAATTTCCCAGTTTACAAACATGAACAAATGATTCCATTGCCATGGTCAGCCAGGGGCCTCCAGTGTGAAACCCCTGTTCACAGGGAACTGGATGCAATTGCCAACTTAAGGTGACTCCCTGGTCAGCACCATGGAGTTTTCAAGGGCTGGGCTTGGTTGTTGGGTTTTTTTTCCAGAAGTAGATTGCCAGGCCTTTCTTCCGAGGTGCCTGGATTAGATTCATAGTTGGGTGCATCCTAGCCTGTATCCCTGATTGTCCTGGGATGGGGCCGAGGGTCATCAACACCTGCTGAGTGCTGCCTGAGTCCACTCATTTGCCCTCAAGAGTCTGTGAGGGACGGTCTGGGCCCTCACCTCTCACACCACACGTGAGCCCCAGAGGCAGGACTGAACACACTTCTACATGGTCTCGCCTCTCCCTGCCCAGCTAAGCGTTAGGCATCTTCAAGCCTCGGCTTAGCAGCCACCCCCTCCAGGAAGCCCTCCTGGATACTCCCTCCTCCTGCAGAGTAACATAGCCCTAAAATCCCCTCTTCCCTACACCCTGTCCCCACACCAGCACTAACTCCGTTCCTGGCACCCAGTGGGTGTTGGGGAGATTAGGTGGCACAGGTCGTGAGCCCCTGGAACCAGGCCGCCGGTTCAGATCCAGCTCCACCATGGATGAACTGAATGACCCGGGATAAGCCTCAGTTTTCTGTAAAATGGGGCTAAGTTCACACAGAAGAGAGACTCCCCAGGACTAGAGGAGGCGAGTACTTAGAAAGCAGCCCTGGCACACAGTAAGTGCCCAGTCAATGCCAGCTGCGAGTTCCTACTGGATTGAAACGGCCAGTGATTTCATCTTACTTACTTACTTAGATTCACAATCAATGCCCTTGGTACTAGTAGTCAGGAGATAAGGAGACATATTGCATTTGGAAAGTCCACTGTCAGGGACCTCTCCAAAATACTGAAAAGCAAGGATGTCAGTTTGAAGACTAAAGTATGCCTGATAAAGGCCATGGTCTTTCCAACGACTTGCTATGCATCTGAAAGCTGGGCAATGAATACAGATGACAGAAGAATTGATGCCTTTGAGCTGTGGCGTTGGAGAAGAGCACTGAACATCCCATGGACGGCCAAGAGGAGGAACAAACACGTCTTGGAGAAAGTGCAACCAGAGCGGTCTTTGCAGGCAAAGATGATAAAGCTTCGTCTCACTTCAGGCTGGTTGCTAGGAGAGGCTACTCCTTGGGGAGGGACATCAGGCTTGGAAAGGTGGAGGAACGGCTAAGAAGAGAAAGCCCTTCAGGGAGATGGACAGACACAGTGACTGCAGCAATGGGCTCAAGTGTGTCAGAGATGATGAGGATAGAACTGGACAGGACAGGGTTCGCATCCGTCGTTCACAGGGACACTATGAGTTATACCCAGTTTGATGGCACCTAAAACAACTAACTAAAATGTGGGCTGTTTGAACTTACCCAGCACTACCTTGTAAGAAGGGTATGGGGTTCTCTTCCTTCAAGATCACACAAGCAAACCCCCTCCTGTGGACTCAGTTCCAATACACAGCAACGCTTCAGTGGGTCTCCATGCAGGAGGAGACTGCCCCCTTCAATCCCAAGCAGCAGTTGGTGGAGTCAAACCACCAACCTTTTGGTTAGCAGTCCAATATTATCCCACCAGACTCTGTAAAGACCTCATCTGAGAAACCCCTACGCAGCTCAGTTCTCTGCCACACGAGGGTCTGCCGAGTTGCCATCCACTTGACGGCAATGGGTCTGGTGTGAGCTGACAGTGGTGTCTGCTATATAAATGAACAAATGCATTCTCCCACAGCCTTCCCCCTGTCCACCAGAGATTAGCCAAGACTGCAGGGGGGCGTGGGCGGAAGCACCTCTCCTGACCGGGAATGAAAGGAGCACAGGAGCATAAAAGGTTAGTGGGGAAAAATCAGAAACTAAAACCCCACCACTTTTAAGACACTTCACAACATGCTGCCCAAAAGCAAAGGTTCCACCTTTGATCATCCTCTGCTTAAAAAAGTCTTTTTCTCCATTGGGATCCTTTTCTCTCCTTATTTAAACCCAGGCTCTTTCCAAAAAGGATTTTTGGTGACAATATTCTTTCCCTGACATTGTTCAGAAAATACACCTTTGAAAGAAAGGTTGGAGGATGGAGCAAAGTTGCCATTAAGGAATGTATCAGTCTGAAACACAAAAGCTGTGGGGAAGAGAGAGACTACGGCTCACTCCCTGAGAAGATTGGGGCACAGGAAGCTTGGAGAGGGTGCTGCAGGTGGCTCGGCAGAGGAGAAAGTGACTGGCAGGCGCTGAGCTCCAGGGACTCGGGAGGAAACGTGACGATTCCATTTTCTGATATTTTGCTAAATGTGTCATTTTAACACAGCAGTGAGTCTTTGCCACCTCTGGGGACTTTATGTACCAAACATCCTCTTCCTGGTTTTGAGTCTGAACAAAAGAACAAGGGGAGGCATTTCAGCAGATCAAAGAGAAGCCCCACAAAACCTGCAGCTCTTCCCCAGAGCCACCTTCAAAAGCCGAGCTTGTAAACGGCAGGCCACTGCCTCAATCCGGGCCACTTAACCAGCCCTTCGCAGACAGCCCCACTTTCCAGTCCCATTGATCTGACTCCGAGAGATGAAGTGGCCTCGGGAGCTTCCAGGAACAGCAAAGTTGAGTATGAAAGGCCCATCTCTACCTCGGCTCGCCCCAGCGACACCCCCTCGCAGCCCGAGGAGGAGAGCAAGCCAGAGCCTGAGAACCTGGAGCCCCAACTCCCACGATCCAAGTCGGAGCACACAGACGTCCGTCAAGTGCAGTTTGCTCGGGCCTCCTCTGGAGAAACGAGCGCTTTCGATGAATTCTCAACTTCTGTCTTTGCTCAGAGGGGTAGGTGCTTTGCAGAAGTTATCATCTATCTGGATAATTAAATCCATCAGCCATGAAGGTCTTAACAGCGCTCTTCTAAAAATAAAGCAATTGGGAAGTGCTCAGAGCTCAGTGGTGTTGAAATAAGACTCAGATCAGATCCAAACAAGAGGAAACAGTGTCAAGATCAATGGCTGGGCGGGGTGGGGGGCAGGCGGGGGGGTGAGGGGGCGTCTGTCCCCACAGCGAGGTGACAGGGATAGACGAGCTGATGCGCTGCTGTCGGCGGATTCCGACTCATGCAGGAAGCAGAACTGTGCACCGTGGGGTTTTGGGTGAAGCACACGGCCAGGATTTCTTCCAAGGCACCTCAAGGTGGGTTCAAACCTCCAACCTTGCAGCTAACTGGAAACTTGGTGCTTCAGCATTCACACACCCACATGTAAAATGTTATCAGCCCCATGTGACAGATGAGAGCTGCACTGTAGGGTGGTTTGTTTTTTAATTTTTCTATTATTATTAACTTTAATGAAAATTTAGAGACTTTGGATTTTCATTCATTCACTGTTGCACTTTTCTTCCTCCCCACCCCAGTTTGCTCTTCTCTTTGAAAAGTAAAATTCTTTCATTGTTAGACAATCCCTCCCCCCAAGTCCACTCCACTATGCAGCCTTCGTTCTGGACTCCTTTTGTCATGTCAGGAGTCCTGTAGGGTTTTCTAAGCTGTAGCCTTTCAGAGACCTCTCTAAATTGCTAAGGAGAAACGATGTTAGTTTGAAGACTAAGGTGTGCCTGATTCAGGCTCTCATCTTTTCAATCATTTGCCCTCAGGAACTGGACAATGAATAAAGGTGACAGAAGAACTGATGCCTTTGAGCTGCGGTGTTGGAGAAGAGCGCTGAAGATCTCATGGACGGCCAAGGGAACAAACAGGTATGTCTTGGAAAGAGTGCAGACAGAGTGTTCTTGGAGGTGAGGATATCGAAGCATCATCTCTCATCCTTTGGGCATGTTGCTAGGAGAAGCTGTTCCTCGCAGAAGGCATCATGCTAGGAAAGGGAGAGGTCAGCAAAAGAGATGAACTGGACTGGCACGGTGACTGCCACAGTGGGCTCAAGTGTGTCAGAGACGATGAGGACGGCTCCGGACAGGACAGGGTCAGCTCTGCTGTTCAGAGGGTCACCAGATGTCATAGTTGACATGACAGCACATAATGACAGATTTTACAGGAGTTCCCCATCAGGTCTTCCTCCCTGGATAAATTCCAACAGCCAACCTTCTGGTCAGCAGCGGGTGCTTAACCCGTGCGCCACCAGGGCTCCTTGATGGAACAGGCTGGTTTGGTGAGATGCCATCGCTTCAACTACAGCTCGAAGGGACCTTACGCACGGCAGATCCAAGCCCTGTCCCGCCGAGCGCTGTCCTCAGCTCTCAGAGGCCTGTCCATCCCACGGAGGACCGTTCCCTCTTCTGCCAACTCCCCCCTTACCCAGCAAGATGATTTATTCCCAGATTGATGCCTGCTAACTAGATGCCCGAAGTCTGTGAGACGTTTCTCGACCCTCGTCTCCAAGGCGCACCTGGGCTGCACTCCCTCCAGGCCAGCCCTGCGTGGCCGTCTCACGGCCCGTTCAACACTCGTCTCCAACACCACAATTCAAATCCTCCATTCTGGTTAGGTCTTCCTTAAGTATCGTCCAACTTTCTGATGCAACTGAAAATACCACTGCTTGGATCAGTCACACCTCAGTCTTTAAACAGATACTTTTGTTCTTGCCCTTTGGAGAGAGGTCCCTGATGGCAGATTTTCCCGATGAAACATGTCTTTCGCTTGAACGAGCTAGAGAGTCGTAATTCAAAGAAGGCAGCGTGACACAAATAACCCGCAAAGTCCTTGAAGCGTGAGCCCCAGACCCTCCCACAGGTTATGAACGCCCACTTCAATCTGGAAGCTTCTGGGGGTTACAAATTGGATGGATGGCAATAGCTCACCCAGCCAAGGACTAACAGCCGCAGAGAACTGCCCTCTAACCCAGAACGGGAAAATATTGAAACTGCTTTCAACAATCCATGTAGCAAAACTTCCAAGAAAGAGCCTTTTAACCCTCAGCGTGGCCTCTCGGAGCGGCGGACAGCCTCGTCACGCGGCGAGCCGGCTGCTGTAATGAGCTGGGTCAATTTATGTGCGTTTAATTCGCTGTAATTTCCAGGCCAGGGACGCGCGGCCGAGCCGTGCTGACAAGCAGCACAGGGTGAGAAAGTGCGGCTCCCGCTGCCCAGACATACGGAAGGCTCAGCTGGGGCGTCTGATTTATGTGCTGGGCTGGGCTGGGGCGCGAGGTCCGTGCCGTTCATTGCTCAAGATCAAATCTGTTTAGAGGCTCGCGTGAAATGTGTATGCATTTCAGTGAGGCTGAATCCAAAGGAGGTCAGCAGGGGCCACAGACCCCTCCTCAGATATGTCCACCAGCCAGCTGATCAAATGCACGGGGATCACTGTGCCGGGCTGAGCACTCAAGGACACAAATACCAAAAGGGGGTGGCTCTTACAGAACAAAGTTTGGGATTTTTTTTCCCTTCACAATTCTAGAGTCTGAAAGTCCAGAGCATCTTAGCTGTCAAGTGTCACTGTGATAGAAATACCACAAGAGGTTGGCTTTAACAAACATAGAGTTATATTCTCACTTATTAGGAAGCTAGAAGCCGGATTCCAGGGTACTTACTCTAGGGGAAGGCTTCTGTGTTGGCTCTGGAAGAAGATCTGGTCTCTAGTGAGCTCCTGTCCCTGGGTGGTCTCTAAGTGCCTTGGCTTTTCTCTCTCTCTGTCTCTGCCTCCTCACTGGCTCATTTGTTGTTGTTGTTGTTGTGTACCACAGAGTCATAGCCACCCCATAACCAACCCTCCAACAGGTTCTCAAAGGCAGTTGATTGCAAGGGAACAGAGAGCCCATCTTTCTCCTGTGGAGCCGCTGGTGGATTTGAACCGCCTACCTTTGGGATTGCAGCACAGCTTCTTACCACGAGGCTACCAGAGCGCTCTACAGCTGCTCATTAAATCTCCTTTACATTTCAATAGAGACTTACCCAGGACCCCTCACACTGACCCTGCCTCACTGAAATAAGAGTCAACTCACAAATGGGACCATAATGACAAACTGCCTGTCGTGCACCGTTGAGCCGGAACCACCCAGAGTGCCCTGGCTGGGTTTTCAGAGGCAGTAAATTGCACAGGAGGAGACTGCCCACCTTTATCCTTGGAGCAGCTGGTGGATTCATACCCTGTTCCTTTGGGTTGGAAATGCTCCCAATGACATGCATTGTTTGTTGTTGATGTTATATGCCATCGAGTCACCTGTAACTCTTCGCCACCCTATGTACAACCCTAAACTCTGCTCTATCCTGAGCCAACCTTATTATCTGTGACACACCCACCCCTGTTACCCCAGTCACTGAATCAATCTACCTCATCAAGGGTCTTCCTCTCTTGTGTTGTGTTGTCCCTCTCCAAGGACTGGTCCCTCCTTCTTGTCTCTAAGGAACAGCCTGGTTTCACCCTCTCTAAGACGAACGTGTTTGTTTTCCTAGCAGTCCATGGTATATTCAATACTCTTCTCCAGCACCACAGCTCAAAGACATCAACTCTCCTTCTATCCTCCCTAGTCACTGTCCAGCTCTCTGATGCATAACAAGTAATGGCAAAGACTATAGCCTGGATCTTAGTCACCACCTCTAAGCCTGCACCTTAGTCTCCAGACTGACATCATTGCTCTTCAGTAGATGTGCTCACCAAGTTGTGCCAAGAAATCTGGAGGACAACCACCTGGCCAACTGACTGGAAGAGATCTATATTTATTCTCATCCCAAAGAAAGGTGATCCGACAGAATGCACAAATTATCAAACAGTATCATTAATTATCACATGCAAGCAAGATTCTGCTGAAGATTATCCAAAAATGACTGGAGAAGCACATCAAGAGAGAATTACCAGATGTGCAGTCTGGGTTTAGAAGAGGCTGTGGTACTAGGGATATTATAGCTGATGTTAGATGGATCTTAGCTGAAAGCGGGGAATACCACAGGAATGTTTATCTGTGTTTCATTAACTATGCAAAGGCATTTGACTGTGTGGCTGACTCTGAGAAGCATGACACGAAGAGATGTTGGGATTTACAATGCATATTCTGGGAGACACAATCCACTCCACATCACAGGGTCTCAGCTATGCCAAGTCCTCCCTTGTCATCTGCCTTGGACAATCTCTGGGGCCTGGCGGTATGACACACAGGGCATCTCTGTCTTTGCCCACGTGTTTGAGCACTCGTCCCTGCGTCTATGAACACAGATCCCGTGCCATCTCATCACGTCTGACAGAGATGACGCCACGTGTAACAGAGCAGCGTCGTTCCACGGGGTCTTCCCGGCTGTAATATTTACAGAAACGGATCACCAGGCCTTTCCTTCAAGGCACCGAGAGGCGGTTTTGAACCACTGTCCTATGGGTTTGCAGTCACCTGGAGACAGTCTGTACCACCTTGCATCTACACTGCTCTGAGTGTAGCCAGAAGTGATTCGGTTTGGCTCCAGTCACCATAGCCATGACCTCAGCTGACTGGCTACATTACAGCACGTCGTACTGTTGCTGAGGTCCAGGGCCATCAGGTCACTTCTGACGCTTCGTGACTCCATGTGCGAGAGCGCGACACCCTGTCCACTCCTGGCCACACCCGCATGGTGCTCTGTTGGACCTGCTGCTGCAGCCGCTGCGTCAGCCCATCTGTTGGAAGTTGTCCTCTTTTGCTGACCGTCGCCCTTCCAGAGCATGATGTCCCCCTGCAGGGACTGGGCCCTCCTGGTGGCGGGGACGAAGCACAGAGACGAAGCCTCAGCACCTTCGCTCTTCTAGGTGGATCCTCTAGTGAAGTGCAGGTTGGTGCACCTCTGTGACCTCACGGAACGAGCTCCCAGCCGCCTGGACAGGAATGACCTCTAGTTGGTTTCCTTTTTTTAACTTTTAAAACATAACTACAGTCATTCATCCGTAGGGCCTCCAAGGTTATACAGACCCCCTCAAAAGCAGATTGGCACGTTGTTCATACAGAGTGGCTGGTGGATTCAAACCACTAACCTTTGGGTTAATAGTCTAGCACTTAATCACTAACACCAGCAGGCTCTTCATAATGTGTTTACTTGGAACTAGACAGAAATGAAGCAAGGCAAAAACACAGAGGGAGAAAAAGTCGAGGCTGGACACAGAGCGTGCTTGCAAACCATCCCACCGCCAGCCATTTAATTGGGTGGAAATAGCGACTTTTCATTAAAGCTCACATTAGCTGGGCAGTCCTGGGTCACCAAGAACCCAATTACTGCGGAGGTGGTCACGCGGGGGCCAGGACGCCAGAGGACACCTTCTGGGCTGCAATTACACACGTCCCCGAACACGAAGCCTTTGAGGCAGCTTTCTCAGGCTGACCTGCCGACCCTGCTGCTGGACCAGCTGCCCGTGGCGGGGATCCAAAGCAGAGACCATCAGAAGGGGGGAAACGGGCCCTTTGAAGACCAAAAGTGGCTTTAAGTATAAATCTAAAAAGAGCAGCAGCTGAGCCGTCCTTGCTGCTGCACAGAGCACTGCTGGCCTGGAGAGCCATCTGAGTCCCCTGGTGGTCAGACACACTTCAGAGGACAACGAGGTGGGCTGCGGGGGAGGGGCACGCTGCGGGGGAGGGGCACCCTGCGAGGGAGGGGCACGCTGTCAGGCTCCCATAGATAGCAGGGCTCAGGGTGCAGGGGGGGGCACCAGCCAGCCAGCCAGTAAGGCCCTCTGTTCCTGCAGCAGATGGGTGGGCAGGTCAGTTCACTGTGCTGACCTCCGGCCACCCTGGGTAGAACCCTCAGGACTGGCCAGGGGCTCTCAGAACCCTGTGTGACCTCTTCTTTCTCCCAATCCACCCCCACAACATCTCAAGACTACCCCAGAACCTGAGGCCATGTCCTTCCTGCTGCCACAAGCTGTCTCTGTCTGCCATGGCCTGCACCCCGCTTCTCAAGAGTAACTCACGGGGATCCAAATGCAGAGGCCACTAGTCCCTTGGACCAAGCCACAGCCCCTCGGAGCCCAGCATCTGCCAGCAAGCTGAGCTTAGTATCTGGAGCCAGGGAGACCACACAACCCCACAGCTTCCAGCAAAGGGTGAGCTGAGTGGGAGCCCAGGGTTAGAGAGAGGACAGCAACGATGGCCACGGGGAAGCGTGAGTTAGAGAAGCAGATCCTACTGGGGAAGCTCAGATCTGCTGGTCGCCTGGGCACTGTCCCGTCACATCCAGAGAAGTTTGCAGCTGCTGGTCGCCTGGGCACTGTCCCGTCACATCCAGGGCAGTTCGCATCTGCTGGTCGCCTGGGTACTGTCCCGTCACATCCAGGGCAGCTCACATCTGCTGGTCGCCTGGGTACTGTCCCGTCACATCCAGAGAAGTTCGCATCTGCTGGTCGCCTGGGTACTGTCCCGTCACATCTGGGGCAGCCCAAATACCCTCTGCTGGGGAGAAGCCTCTAGAAACAGCCAAGCTTTAGGAAACGGGTCTGGTGCGCCTGCTGGATCTGCCGGAGGGAAAACGCCAGAGGGACAGTGCCCTCTAGTGTCCCGCCTCTTCCCTGAAGCCCAGGAAACCAGAGGAGCAAATTTCACTGCTGGAAGGGGAAGAAGGTGGGAGGGACCAGGTTCAGGGCTCCGGACTTGGGGCTCCAGTGTGGTCAGCATTCCCGGGTCACGCGCCTCTGTTCACCCCTGAGATGCTTAAAGAGCGGGTGTAGTGTGTCAACTAGGCATAGCTGAGTCATCCTGGGATCTCAACAGGGCTCAAGACCTCAAGACGTCAACACTGAGGTCTTCGTGGTCCACTTCAAGGCCTACAGGGGCCCCTACAGAGACCCCTAGGAGGACTTGAAGCAGGGGCTAAATGCACAGCTTTCCCCCCTCCGCCAGTGTGTTTCATCCTCATCTTTGCACCCCAAGCTCCAAGGTTTGTCGGGTGCACAACACTTATGAATTATAGTGTCAGTGAAGGGTGTTCAATATACTATGAGCTGCCAACAGAACAAGTCTATCTTAGAAAGGGTGTAGCCATGGCGCTCCTTGAAAGTAAGGCTGGTGACACTTCACGCCACACCTTTGGGGGGGGGGGGTTGTTACCAGGAAAGGCTGTCCCTGGAGAAGAGCATCATGCTTGGAAAAGCTGAGGGTCACTGAAGGACAAGAAGACCCTCAATGAGATGGATTGACACAGAGACTATAGAAACGCGCTTAGGTAGAGATTGAGGACAGTGCAGGACCAGGAGGGGCTTCATCCTGCTGGACATGGAGTCACTGAGTCCACTCCATGCACCTGACCTCGGCAACCAGGTGTCCACGTCCTAATCTCTGGGACCAGCATCACCTCGGCCTGGCTATTTAATGGGCCCCAGAGTCAAGGCACCGGGGGCTGACCACCATTCCCACTGCATCTACACTCCAGCTGGCCTCTCCGGGCTGGATCTGAAGACACAGACACCTCCTGAGTCTCACAGGTTACCCCATCCTCCCAGGTGACCTGCCAGGTTCTTAGGAACAGCCTGGTCAACTTCAGATGTCCAGTGTCCCTGGTGACCCTCCAAGAACTACACGTAGCGATGACAGTCCGCGTGGCTGAGCACAGATGGGCCTTGGGGACAGGCCATGCTGCACCATGTGGACCAGCTGATAAGGAATGGACCCTGAGGCAGGAAACCTGAGCCCTCCGGCCCCTCCCAGGTACAGGCTCTGCCCAGATGCCACAGCTTTTGGGAGGTAGGGTGACCAAGGTGAGAGTGAAGAGAAGTCGTTTCCCCAGGGAAGCATCAGGCAGTGACAAAGGAGGCTGAGGACTCTGGCTGAACGAGTGACAGCTGTATCCAGGGACAGCTGGGACAGGGTGGGGTGGCGGGTCATGCAGACAGCAGGATGTGCAACCGGGCAGCTACTGCTTGGACATCACGCTGTCTACAGCCTGAGGGACACCTGCCTCAGGGTCCTTCTGAGGTGTGGCCAGTCCAGCTGGCAGTGTGACCACCGACAGCCATATGACAGGGACGCAGGCTCCTCTCAAGGTAGCCAGGCCCTGGCCCCTCCCTCCTGAACCTTCCCTCGGCCAGCACTGACCGGCTCCTTCAGATGCATCACCATCCCCACAGACCAGCCCTCAAACTTTCTGTTAGGATGGATTTGTGAGGAGTGCTGATGGTGTTGTGCTTAACATATCAAAAGGTACGCAGTTCAAACCCACCCGCCACTTCATGGGGGAGTGATGAGGGCATCTCCTACTGTGGCGGGCTTTACAGCCAAGCTCTCCTCCATCCCACAGGTTCCTGTGAATCAGAACGACTCAACGACCCACTTAATACTGTGGCCATGTAGCCCTAGTGGCACAAAATTAAGCACTTAGCTGCAAACTGAAAAAGGTCGACAGTTCAAACTCACACAGAGGGATAAGGGCCTGGCTGACTGCTTCCGTCACAGCCAAGAAAACGACTTGAGGTGGGATGGGGTGAGGTGTGACGGTCACACTGGACACCTGCACACACAGCACACAGCATGGTCGTGGTCCAATTAATATCTTATGTTAATGAGGTCCTATCACTTAAAAGGGCGTCTTAAACCCAGTGCCACTGTTGTAGAATGGGACTGACTTCAGGGTTGGGGGGAGACTGAGAAAAACTGGATAAATTATGTAGACTGCATTGAAACAGATGAGGGAGAGAACGGTTTAAAAGCAATATATGATAGGGTATTATGGTTATCACAAGAGTCCAGAATGAAGGCTGCACAGTGGAGTATATTCATGGGGGAGAAGGGGGATTGTATATCAATGAAGGAATTTTTCTTATACTTTTCAAAGAGAGGAGCGAATTGGGGGGGAGGGGTGTGCAGGGAGAAAAGTGCATCAATGAATGAATGAAAATCCAAAGTCTCTAAAAATGTTCATTAAAATAAAATAATTTTAAAAAAAAAAGGAATAGCTTAGAAACAAACAAGGATCAATAGGGGAGATGGAGGCCACCAGGGGATGGACAAGGAAAGGAAGAAGAGAAGTCAGACCCCAAGGCCTTCTCAAGAGAGTCTCCTCCGCTAGAACCAAGACCCTGAGTTCAAACTTCCAGACTCCTAAACTGTGAGAAAATGAAACTCTGTTCATCAAAGTCACCCCCTTGTGCTGTTCCTGTGTCCGGAGAACCAAGGAACTAAGTCAGTGATCCGCTCCCAGAACCTCAATCCCTCTCTTCCCTCCTAGTGAACCCTAACTCAAAGCTATCCCACAGGAGGTCAGTGGAGTTTTCAAAGCTATAAACTTTTACAGGAGCAGACTGCCGCATAGTTCTCTTGGCAAGCAGCTGGTGGGTTCAAACCACCGGCCTTTAGGTTAGCAGCAGAGCACTCTACCCACTGGGCCACAGTCTAGCATGTTTGTTTGCAGTTTATTGTCTCTATCAGTAATGAACACAAACGCAGTTCAAATCCACCAGCTGCTCTGCGGGAGAAGGATGGGCAATCTCCTCCAATGCGATTACCTGCCTCTGGAAACCCATCGGAAGATCCGCCAAGGGTCGGTTCCGACGCCACGGAACACAGCAAGGACAGTGAGCACAGCCGTGTGTCCACAGAGCCGGCACGCGGCCCTGCACACGGCAGGGGAATGACAGGATGAGACTCTCCCCACAGCAGGGCTTCCAGCAGAGCAGATGATGGGATGAGAGTCCCTCGTGGTACCTGGCTCGGATAAGATGCTCAGCAGACAAGGGGATCCCGGTCCCTGGACACGACTAAGGGCCCGCTGCGGGGAGGCAGCTCCCAGGGCCACTCTGGGCAGGTGATGGGTTCACTAACAGCTTACTGTAGCCCACCTGCGTCCTCCAGGGCGGGGACACGGTGTTCTTTCCAATTATGATACAATAAGTAATATGGCCCTTCCAGCCATGTTGTCGTTATTGTTGTTGTTGTTGTTGTTGTTGTTAGGTGCCAAAGAGCCCACTACAACTCAAGTAGACCCCAAGAACAACAGCCCTGGCCCTGGCCCCGTCCTGCGCCTTCACCTCAATCTCCATCATGCTCACTGTCAGAGTCACTGGACAGTCCATCTCACTGGGGAGCGTGCTCTCTTTCCCCGGCCCTCGACCTTTTGATGCACTGTAAATTCTAGCCTCTTTGTTGGTGCTTAATGCCTCGTTCTGGAGTGAGTTACCTGCCGTGCCCAGATGGTAGGATTAGGGTGGGGAAACATCTGAAGATCTGACCGCAGTCAGCACCCTGAGCTCTCCTGAGGGGGTGGCCCTGAGATCCTATAAGAGGCCTGACCCCAAGAAGCTTGATCCCTCCCTGTCCACTCTGGACACTGCATCTGACCTGGTCCAGCTGCTATGAGGGCCGAGGGTCTCAGGCCGCAGGTCCTTGCCCTTGTCCACCAGCCCATGAGACCACATGCATCAGCCTACACCATCCACAACCCCGTGAGACGTGGCTCTGATGGTTCTTGAGTTTCTGTGAGACCTTCCAGCGATTTACAGAACGCAACGAACGGCACAGACAGAGAGATGGAGGAGTGGTGATGTAGACAGGGGGCCTGGTACAGTCTAGAGGAGCCGGATGCTTGGGACGTCCTTAATCTCTGCCTCATTGTCGTCATGTGTCGAGGACGACCCACGGTGAACCTGTGAACAGCAGACCTGAACCCGCCCTCTCCTGTGTCAACCTGTGAACAGCAGACCTGAACCCGCCCTCTCCTGTGTCGGCCTCATCATCTCTGACACACCTGAGCCCACTGCTGCGGTCACCATGTTAATTACCTGCTTGAGAGTTCCTCCTCTCCTTCTCCGCCCTCCACCTTTCCAAGCATGACGGCCCTCTCCCAGGACTAGTCTCTCCTAGCAACATGCCCAAAGGATGAGAGAAGAAGCTGTATCACCCTTGCCTTAATGATGGGATAAATTATGTATGCTGCACTGAAACAGACGAGAGACAGAGACAGAGACAGAGACAGAGAGAGAACTGTTTAAGAGGGATATGTGATTAGGTATTATTGTCATGACAGGAGTCCAGAGTGAAGGCTGCACAGTGGAGTAGAGAGTAGACTTGGTGGTAGGGATTATATAACAATGTAAGAATTTTTCTTTTACTTTTCAAAAAGAATAATGAACTGGTGGGGAGGGGTGGGCAGGGAGAAAAGTGCAACAATAAATGAATGGAAATCCAAAATATCGGTAAATTTTCATTAAAATTAATAATAATTATTATTATTAATAGTAATAAAATAACTGTTGTTGTTATGTGCCATTGACTCACAGCGATCCTATGTACCAGAGCTCTATACGTTCTCCTATCCTGTGCCAACCTAGCCATCTCAAATGCACTTATTCTCACCTCTCCAGTCACAGAATTGATCCATCTCATCAAAGGTCTTCCTCTCCTTCGCTTCCCCTCCACTCTGCCAAACATGATGTCCCTCTCCAAGGATCAGTCCCTCCCTGCAACATGCCCAAAATATGTCAGACGAAGCTTCAGAATCCTTGACTCCAGGGAACACTCTGGCTTCACCCTCTCCAGGACAAACCTGTTTGTTCTCCTAGCAGTCCATGGTTTATTCAACACTCTTCTCCAGCATCACAGCTCAAAGGCATCAATCCTCTTTCTATCAACCCTATTCACTACAACTCTAAAAAACAAAAGAAGACGTACTCTGGCTGCACCGTCTCCAGAACATTTCTGTCTGTTCTTCCGGCCGTCCAGGGGACGTTCAGCACTCTTCTCCAACAACACGGCTCAAAAGCATCAATTCTTCTTCTATCTGCCTTACAGGAACCCGTTTTATACTAATTATTTTAAAGGCGATGCTCTCTGTCCCAGTCTTCCCCCATCTCTACCCCCGTTGAGGACACCCCCATTTCCACAGCCCTCCCTCTGCTATGACACTCCTGACTACACAGCCCTTCTCTGCTGTGTGACTCTGCAGGCCCCTTACCCTCTCTGGGCCCGTTTCCTCAACAGTCAAGTCATGAAGGCTGTGTGAGGCAAAGCAGGCGTGAGGAGGGCACCGTGCAGAGCTAGAAGGCTCAGCGCACGTCAGCCACGGGGAGAGGTCCATCCACGCGAAAGGCCAGAAATAATCACGGCCGAGCTGGGCTTTCACAGCCTGCTGCTCCCCAGGACCTGGCCGAGAATACCCTTAATCCAAAAGGCACCCAGAACCCTAAGACTGTAAAAGAGAAATCTACTGCATCAGACACCTCTATTTAAAAAAAAAAATCATAATTGTAACATGTCCTTGAAAATGCTCCTTTACATTGGTTGCTGTCGTGGGGCAGGGGGTAGTGTCAATCCGTGGCAGCCACGTCCGGCAGCATACATCACCTGGGCCTGCACCCCTCACGGTCACCGCTGTGTGAGCCCGCGGTGGCAGCCTCTCTGTTGGTCCAGCTATCACGGCCAATCTTTCTTTTTCACTAATTCTCCTTTACCCGGCATGCCCATTCTCCAGGGACACTGACTCAGATACCCAACACGTACACACAAAGGAAAAAGCTGAATTCCAGTGTGTCCCTGAAGACAGTGCAGCACACCCTCCTCAGAGCCCAAAGACACAAATGACCAACAGAGTTCAACCACTTGGTCTCCAAAGCCAGGGTCCACACGCGGTCACCCACTGTCCTGACACCCATTCCCCTCCTCTTCTTGGGGAAGCCAGGTGGTCAGTGAGGACCCCCTCCTGGCCAGAGCTCTGCTGATTGAGAAAGGGGGGGCATGGCCCTTCACTGCTACCCAAAATTCTAAGGAAGAAAACAATAGTAGTTTTGTGTAGTGTTACAACTACTGTAAAAATAGAAGATAACAGAGCAAGAAGAGGGGAAAGGGAGGAGGGGGCAGCAAACGCAGGAGGGGAGAAAATCATCAGGGGGGCAGAGGTTAGAGGGCGGGGAAGGGGCAGGAGTGAAGGAAGAGGAAAGGTCGATGAGGACTTGACGAGAGAGAGCGACGACAGGCACGCTGTCCTGGTTACTGCGTGACACTGGGTCAGAACCAACTCACAGCAGACCTCCAGGGGCCTTCAGAGGCCGTAAATCATGCAGGAGGAGACTGCCCATCCTTCTCCCTCAAAGCAGCTGGTGGATTTGAACCCTGTGCCTTTGGAATTGCAGTGTGGCCTCTTACCACTAGGCCACCCACTATAGCTTCCCAGATAAGCATAGATCATTAGTAACTAATTACATAAAATACAATGTTTATGAGGGATTGTATAAAACACAACCTACATGAATAAGGCACAATGTATATAAATGATTGTAGGCAAACCAATAAAAAAAGATTTCAAAGTGGCAAGAAGCTGCGCTGGAATCCTGACTAAAGGCACTTGGTTCGAGGCCACTGGTTGCTCTGTGGGAGAAGAATGGGTGATCTCATGTGAGTAACTCCCTCTGAAAACCCGCAGAGGGTCAGCTATGCCCCGGTTCCAACTCTATGGTACACAACAACAACAACCACATATGGAAGGAGGAGGAGGAGGAGGAGGAGAGAAGAAATGCCAGCAACTCACTGCTCACGTGCGGGGGCTGGAAGCGCTTCGGGTGAAGACGCAGGTGGCCACCGGGCACTCGACAGAGGGACACCACTGACGTTCACACACCCGCAGGGCCGGCAGCCACCACGACTCGCAGCAGGAGGACAGGCCTCTCTGGGAGACACCGAGGAAGGCCGCAGAGGGCAGGCTGCCGGACGATGGGCTGCGAGTCAACGATAGGTGCCCACTAACCACAAGGTGCTATTTCTGGCTTTGCCCCCGTGGTCGTCAGGGAAGCGAGGCCACGGAAGGAAGGGAGGCCGCTGGGCTCTGAGGCCCCAGAAGGTGGGGAGGCCGGGTCTGTGCCCACGACAGCGACAGCTCGAGGACAAGCCTGGCCCTGCATCTGCTTCAGACCTGTCTCAGGGCCCAAACTACCAAAACACCACCACCTGGTGAACGGACAGGCAGAACACGGTATAGACACCATCACCCGGCGAATGGACAGACAGAACGCGGTGGAGACACCATCGCCCGATGAATGGACAGACAGAACACGGTGGAGACACCATCACATGGTGAATGAACAGTCAGAACACAGTGTAGACATTATCACCTGGTGAACAGACAGGCAGAATATGGTGGAGATGCCACCACCTGATGAACGGACAGGCAGAACACGGTATAGACACCATCACCCGGCAAATGGACAGGCAGAACACAGTATAGACACCATCACATGGTGAATGAACAGTCAGAACACAGTGTAGACATTATCACCTGGTGAACAGACAGGCAGAACGTGGTGGAGATGCACAATGGAACACTAATTCCTTTTAACTGGTGTTACTCTGACTCCTGGTGACCCCACTCCACTCTGTGGAACAGCCCTTCAGGCTTGCAAAGCGATAACCCCCCAAGAAGGGCGCTCCAGGGGTGTGGTCCTGCTGCCGACCCAAAGGTAGAGGAGCTCTGAGTGTGTGAGTCCGCCAGCTGCTTCTCAGGAGAAAGATGGCCAGTGTCCCCCACGCCATCCCCAGCCCCGAAGTCCCAGAGGCTCAGCGCCACGCACCACGGGAGGAGGCCCGAGCTCCTGCACCGTCCTCACAGTTGCCTGTCCCGCTGCTGCGGCCACTGCGCTGACCCACCTGATGGTCTTCCCCCTGAGGTATGCCCCTCGCTGACACTCTGCCTTCCCAGCACGCCGTCCTTCTCCAGGGACCAGCCCCTCCTGACAACACGCCAAAATACGTGAGACAAAACCTCACTCCCTCAGGCCTACAGAATAACAGGACCTGTGTCATATCACGGTCAAAGACGATGCTGAGTGGGACCAGTCAGGTCTCAAAGGACAAACCCTGACGACCTCATGCACCTGCACCAAGCAAAGGCCTAGAAACCAAGACCATCTGCGAGCGGGGAGCCAGCACTGTGTTACTAGGGGTGGTGGAGACGGGGAGAGGAGGGAGCGGAGGGCACTGCTTGAATAGCGTCATCAGTGGCCTGAAATAGACAAGGTGAAACTGTGAGACGGTGCCTGTGTTAGGTGTATCTTTACCTTATTTAAATATGGACCCAGGGAGTCCTCCAGCTTACAACAAGGTTCTGCTCTGAGGGCCCCATCATGCTGGTTATGTTGCTAGACTGCAGTCAAGTACAACTCACAGCCACCTCTGAACAACGGATCTGAACCCTGTCCTGTCCTGCGTCATCTTCACACCTCCTGACACACAGGAGCCGGTTGCTGCAGACACTGTGTCAATCCACCAGCTAAGGGTCTTCCTCTCCTTCACCGACCCTCCACCCTTCCAAGCACGTCGTCCCTCTCCAAAGCACAGCCTCTCCTGGCAACGTGCCCAATGTGAAACAAACCTCCCTCATCCTCGCCTCCAAGAAGCCCTGTCTGCACCTTCTCCAAGACACAGCTGTTTGTTCTTCTCACAGTCCACGGGAGGGTCAGCTCTCTCCTCCCTTATCACAAATGCATGTCATCATAAAAAGGAACCCATCATAAATAGTTCCAAACCAAAGTTGAATGTCACTTGTTTTTGTTTTTATTATCACCACTTTTTATCACCAGTATCTTCATAAACCCAATCTTCCTTCGTCTTTTAGCATCTGCAAGAGAACATCTGAGAGCTGTAACCGTGGGCAGTGCACGTTACCAATACTGACGAGAGGATGTCTGCACAAAAAGACTGTGGAAAGTCCTGAGTGTCATAACTCAAATATGTCATGAACTTGGCCTCAACCTGCAGGGATCTGTTGTTGTTTTTAACTATTTTATTATTATTATTAATTTTAATGAAAATTTACAAAGATTTTGGATTACCTGCAGTTTTTTGGTTTTTTTTGGGGGGTATCACATATTTATTAAAGACATAATTTATGGTTTGTAAAAAAGATTGCCCTGATATACACAAATATTTGATAATGTGAATTAAAACACTACCCTCAACCCCCTCAGGTCCAAATCAGCATTCAACCTAGATTGGCTTGATCTTGAAATGTAATCCAATAAGACTGAATACCAAACACTTCAGGTCCTGGACAAGGTAGTAAAATACTCGTAAGCCTTCTGCACCCTTGGACTGATTAACAGCAATAAGGGAACCAATTTTTGATATTGTGAAAGAAATGTGTTCATCTCCAATGACAATTTCAAGCTCCTGCCGGCCTACTCGGTCAGGAGGAGGCCATAAGGCATCATCCTCTTTGGTAATTTCACTGTCATCAATTATCCTCTTCAGTTCTTCCATCACACTTTTATGTACGTAAGCCTCTTTTCTGATCATGACGTCATTTTTGTAATTGCTGTTGTTGGCATATCTCAATTTCCCGTCGGGTCAGAACTCGAACTCCAAGAACTCATGGCCGAACTTGCCCTTGTGACCGACGTAGTAACGCAGGTAAAAGTCGCTCTCCATGGTTAGCAAAAGCCAAATGAGAACAAGCCGCTATACTAAACTGGATTACCTGCAGTTTTTAAAAAAGGAAAGGCACAGTCATCACTCTTTTGGTGGAACCTAAGCCACCCTGGTGGTGCAGCAGGTTAAGTGTTGGGCTGCTAACCGGACGGTCAGGTGTTTGAATCCACCAGTCACTCTGAGGCAGCCAGGCGAGGCAGTCTGCTCCCCTGATGACTCACAGTCCCAAAGCCTGATGGAGGGTCACCAGAGCTCTGGCGGTGCACAGTTACGCATGCAGCTGTCAACCAGAAGACTGGCAGTTCAAAGCCACCCTGCAGCTGCTCGGAAAAGGAGTGACAGCCTACAAATCCCTCTGGGCCAGTTTCACTCTGCCATATGGGTCACCCGAGTTAGAATCACTTCCCCAGCATCCAGCACCAAGACTGTAGTGGTCCAGATGAAAATCAATCAAGAGGCAGGTCCTCTCTGGTTCTGGGCGTGGAGACCTGGTGTATGAGGTGTCTGGCCCCCACGCAGGTCTGGACAGGCCGTGCCCGTGGCCACAGACACACATCCATGCTGGCCACATGGCCTGGCTGCGTGTGCATCTGGAGAAGCCCACTCAAACACACTGAACACCAGTCACCGTTGCCAGGACAACAGACATGACATCCCAGACACAGAACGCCTAAGCAAAGCTGACGAGGCCAGCTCCCAGCGATCTCTGGGTTGAAGAGACCACAGAAGCTTCTAGAAGGGGGAGCTCTCAGGAATTAGCACCTTTGCCTGCAATGTGTCCCCCTTTCTCAACCTGATTTCAGAGCCGGGGGCCAGGCCACCTGCCACAGCGTGGACAACACCTTTGTGTCTGGCCTGGGACATAACTGTACAGACCCCACAGGGTGGGCGAGGGGGAGAAATGAGTTGACATGGTATCTGTCTCCATTTCCGAGGGGGCTCTGGTGATACAGTGGCTAAAGCACCCAGCTGTTTACAACACGTCAGCAGTTCAAACCCCCCAGCCACTGCGAGGGAGAAGAATGAGGCTGTCTGCTTCCATGAAAAGGCAGCAGCACTGCGGTTGTTGTTGTTGCTGTTGCTCGGTACCCTGCACTCATGGGGTCCTGAGTGTACCAGGAAGCACTCCCCATCCTACAGGAGACACGAAGGTGCGCAGCCTGGAAGCCCCATGGGCAGTTCTGTTCCATCCCACCAGGTCACCATCAGGAGTCACCTTGACAGCGGTGGGTTGGGCTGGAGTCTTGGTTTCCAAGGGCTTCAGTAACCAAAACACCACTGCCGTGCGGTGCTGTCAAGTTAGTCCCAATGCATTGCAGCCCCAAGGAAACAGGCCAGCACACAGCCAGGCCCTTTGCGACAGGATCGCTGCGTAAGCTCTCTCTCTGTAAGCCCACTGTCCAGTCACTGTGTCAGTCCATCTGGTTGAGGGGCACTCTCTGACCACACATAATGTTTCTAACCAGGGACAGGACTCCTCCTGAGAACACGCCCAGAGCGTGTGAGGTGACATCTAGCCCTGCATTCTAAGGAGCTCTCTGGTTGCACTGCGACGTCAGATTTGGTGGCTCCTTTGGAAGTCCGTGGTATATTCAATATTCATCTTCAACTCCACAATTCAAAGGCGTTGATTCTTCTTCAGTTTTCTGTACTCACTGCTCAACTTCCACATGCATTCGAAGTGCTGGAAATACCACCGGCAGGTAGCTTTTCGAGCAGAGATTCATTCCCTCGCAATATGGGATCCACATGATATGATGAACTTCAGAGGACAGGCCCTCCTTGTCTGTGGCCCTAGGCGTTCCCCAGCATTCCTGGGTGCACAGCTGGACCCCCACACTCTCTCCCCTCTGTGTGGCCTTGGACGATCCCTAATACTCCTGGGTATGTGACCCTGGATATTCCCTGGCACCCTAGACATTCCCTGGCACTCCCAGGGGTGTGGCCTGGACGTTCCCTGGCACTCCTGGGTCTGTGGTCGGTTCCCACGTTCTCTCCCCGCTGTGTGGATCTCCTCAAACCTCTTCCCCTTTTACTGTGACATCACACAGATGGAACTCATTCTAGGTGTCATACTACAACCTCATGGCCCCTTATGACAGGGAAAAAAACCCTTCTTCCCAAACAAGGTCAAAGCCACCTTGACAGGAGCAGGGCTCGGACTTGAGTATGGAGTGTCCACCCGTGACACCCGTAAGGAGACCTTGGCTGTTTCTCCCAGACAGACTCGTCATTTTTTTGGCAGTCCCTGGACATCGGTACTCCTCCAGCACCACGACTCAGAGGCACCAATTCTTCTTCGATCTCCCTTACTCATTGTCCAGCTTTCACAAGGTGTATAACAACTGAAAATACCACGGCTTAGGTCAGGGAGCTCCGCTGGCTCAGTGGGAAAGAGCTGGGCTGCCAACCCAAAGGCAGGCAGTTCAAATGCACCAGTTACTCTATGAGAGCAAGAGAGACAAGCTCCTCCTGGGCCATTTACTGCTTCTGAAAACCCACTGGAGGGTTGGCTACGTGTCAGTCTGATATGACGATACACACCAAGGAAGCCCTAGCAGGGTGACCTGGTGGAGTCGTGGGTTAAATGCTCAGTTGGTAACT